GAGCACTGCGGCAGAGGCAGGCGGACGCACGGCACGAAGCATCTGCACCACACTGTGCTGTGCCTCCCTCTGCTCGGCCGGGTGCCAAGAGCCGGTCTTCGCACAGACATCACCTGATGTGGCCTTGGGAGAAACCAGGGCCAAGGTTGCGCTCGCAGGGAGAGGAAGAGCCAAGTGCGGAGTGGAAGTGGGTCAGATCACAAGGTAACAGCTAAGGGAAGGCAGCAAAAGCTCTTGGGGGAAGGTCGAATATCAGTTTCTTCTCCAAAAGAGATGGATCCCAAAATTATTTGGATCCCAAATAATTAAATCCTTTGGAAAAGGTTGGGAAACCCTAGTTCAGAGAGAGCTGATTGTATTCCCTCTGCCTGGAAAGAAATTTTCTGCTGTATATCCATGCAGTGAGATTCTTGGTGCTTTCTTCCCCAGATGGCGGGGCTCACACTCTCCCGTGTGTACAGCCTGTGCTGATGGGCTCTCAGCACTCCTTGCAGCAGCAGGACAGAGCAACCAACATGGAAGAGAAAATTGCAGCCTGCAGCTGGACTCCCTAGGCAGCATTTCTGGGCTCTCCTTGCCTGCAACGCTTCCTTCACGCTGGAAGTTGCCCGGCGAACCCTGGGGCGAGAGCACCCTCTGGGGACCAGGAGAAAGGTAAGCAATGAGACTCTGCATGTCTCAAATCACTTCTTTTCACGTTGCTTTCGCATTTTAAGTGCATTTCGTGATGGTGATGTGTGCTAGCTTGCCTGCTCAGAAAGAGGACTCTGCTGGAGCGGGCTAGCTTGCCACACCGCGTCTCTGTTACTACGGGACAATCAGTCTGAGCCTCTCCAGAGAGAGCAGAAGAGACCTTAGGACACGCAGCAGCCCTAGAGTTTGTAGAAAAAGCAGAAGTCACGCTGTTTAGGGATAACAAGAGGACATGGTACAAAAGAGACTTTTCTGCATCTGCCTAGGAAGACTCACTGCGAGGCTGGGATACCGATGGTATCCTCCTTCCCGTGGCGGAAGGGGAGCGTGCTGACGGGAACGCAGCGCGGGTGGGTGCCGCTGCCTCTTTGCTGCCTTCCACCATATCAGCGGTGCACGGCGGGCACACACCCATCGGGCCCTGGAGGGGAGGGCATTAGCAGAGGGTCACTTTACTCACACATCTCCAAATCTATCCTAAGGCAAGAGGGTTAGCCAAAAAAAGATTTCTAAATGCAACAAGAAATTCCCAAGTTTGACAGCTGAGAACATTTTATTTAAGTTGTTTTCTCCTACACTGAGTATAGTCTTCGTTCTGAGCTGGCAGCTGCCTCCTCTTGCCTGTCATGCACCTCATGACTCACTGCAAAGGGGGCCTGAACAGGAGGGGGTGGGAGGCAGGGAGAGAGATGCCACTGTAAAAGGCAGACACGCGGACCCAGTAAAACCATAGTGTAAAAAAATCCCACACAAGCATAACAAGATAATAAAAGATTTGTTTTCACCAATTTTTATTTGCTAGCCTATCTTTCTCCATTTATGAGGAAGGCAGCTCTCATCTCACCGAGCCAAAGACACTCCAAATTTCACATGCTGTTGTAGGCATTTTTAGCATGTTAATACCACAGTGGCTGGCAGCTGAAATGGATGGCATCTGCTGACATGCTTCTTCCCTCAAAGAAGGAAACATCCCGATCCTTTCAAGAAAAATGTAAAGCCATGATTTGTGTGGGAAATGTTGTTTTGCATTGGTGGGTTGATGGTCAGTGACGGAGTCGGTGTGTCCATAGGCTTGACCCTGGCAGAGGTGATAGATCCTGCTTGAAGACTTCTGCATTTTCTGAGCTGTAATGTTGAGCCCTGACATAAATCAATGCAAGTGTTGGTCTGTTCACTTACCTGCTGATGCCTCATGCCAGAGCTCCTCTGAGCCCTTCCCGTGCTCCCTCACTTTGCTCAGATCTGAGTCCCTCCTTCACAAACGAGACCTCTCACACACAGTCTTAAAATCCCTGAAGACATAAAATACCTCACATATATCACCTTTCCTGGGACGTGTTAGTTATACGTGAACTGCGCTAAGCCTGCAGCCTTTCTTTGTTAAGCCTGACTGGGTTAAGCCTGCAGCCTTTTGTGTGTTTCAGCTCTTGGAAAGCCCAGGCAGTGTTCTGGGTGTGCTGTTAGAAAGTCCAGGCACAGGAACGAGGGGTCATGCAGACGTTTTTGAGGGCAGGCTGCTTCCCTCGCTCACCTTGGGCTTGAGGGCTTCCAGGTCACATCCTCCTGCCAGGGGAACATTAGGGCACCAATGGACTCATCCTGCTTCCCCTCTCTGCAGGTGGTGACTGTGGAAGTCACACTGCGGTAAGCAACGGGAGCGCAGCGGTGCCCGCCTGCAAACCACGACGCTGGCTGCTGCGGCAGCAAAATCCCCCGCCTGTGAGGAGCAGTCCTGCGGATGATGCCAGAGGGATGGACTGCAGGAGGCGGGAGGTCTTTCCACACGGAAATTTTACGGCACCTTGAAATCTCTTTTCATTTTCAAAATAGCAAAGGCAGGATGGTGCCTTCCCTCCGTGCTGTCATCTCTTGGAAGTCATGGTGGCCCTGGCTCAGGAGACGGACTCCCCACGGCACTTAGAGATGCGAGTTGCATGGACAACAAAACCTGAAACTCACTGTTGCTGAGAAAAGTGAAAACGTTTTGACATTTCCTATGCTTACACAAAACCACTGTGTGCAAAGGCAGAAGTCTGCATGCGGTATTTCAAGTTTTATTTATGCATTGCTTTTGCCCTGCAGTCCCCATTGTCTGTCCTACAGGAAAAATGAGCTTCAGTGATGAAAACCTTCTAACACATTAATCTCTGTGAGCACTTCAAAGATTTGAAATAGACTTTTACAATTGCGAAGGTTTTTTGAATACAGATTTATTTGAATATTTAACAACTATTAAGCCTGAAATGTAGAAGGTACAGAGTGGGAATTTGACTGTGCACATTAATATCTTGAGCAAGATCTTCCACAAGTGAAAATTAGGTAGTTTGCCTGAAGTTACGGATGTAAATTAACTTACACAGCCATATAGATCCACTGGTGTTTGGCCGTTTCACATTTTATCTGAAGCACACTACAGATCTGGAAACTCCAGATTTTGCAAGAGACTGTTCTGATTATGAACATAATTAAAATGATCTGACTCTGAACAAAAGGATAAAGACACAGCTGCGGAGTAGAGGGAATCTACAGGAGGGAGAAGAAGTGGAAGATGCCTTATTTTCTTCAGTAGCTAGGATATGACCAACCTCAGCAAAGACCCCCTAGGACTCTAGGTTTGGCCATGACATGTTTTGCCTTTTTCCATCTCTTCGCTGAGCCAGAATAAGCCTCAGGTTGGACAGAAAGGAAATGAAAATGCAACTAGCAGTAGGGAGCTGGTTTGATGAGGATGGCAGAAGCTTTGCAGTTCCCGTTGCACAGGCTGCCCCACGTTATGCCCCCCTTGACGTTCAGCCGTACAGAATAACACGCCGAGTACCACCACCCGCCCCCATAGCTGGAGGCACAGTTCCCGCTGTAAGTGTCCTGATCCAGATCTTTGGCGGAGAACTTCATGTTGTCGTGCACGGTGGCAGCACTGTTTGTGGCCATGGCATCCCCTGCCAACCCTGAGTACGTTCCCAGCCTCAGCCGGTAGCCATGGGGCCCATCTTCCATGGCATCCTCCGCTGTACCTGTGTAGGAGCCCAGCCTCAGCCGGTAGCCATGGGACTCATCTTCCAGGCTGAAGAGGTTGTAGTCTGCGAAGTTGATGTTGTTTGCGGCATCCCAGATGACAAACCTGACCTGGTAGACCTTCTGCTTGGAGATCTGATGGATGTACTCGGTGCCCAGCCAGTACTCGGTGTGCACGTTCCCAAAGCCGTACTTGTAGGTGCTCCAGGACTCGGCCCAGGTGATCTCCGTGCTCTGCCGGTTCCTCTGGATGACCGTCCAGCCCCCGTCCGTCACGTTCATTTCGCAGTACACCACGATGGGGTGCAGTCCTGTGGGCTGGATGACGTAGACGCCGCTGGGGCTGCCAGCAGAGACCTCGCTGCAGTCCTTGGGCCAACCTGGGGCAGGAGAGAACATGGAGGACCAACAAGCACAGCAACATCCCAGTCTGCTTGTCTGGCCCTGTGAGAGGGATTTCTAGAAAATGGGCATATGTGGGATTTTGCCAGGATAGTAAAAAGTCTGTCGCTGTGTTTCTTACTGTAAGTGTAAAAGCCGAAAACCTCTGTAAGGGAAATACAGTGATTAAGAGAATATGCATATATTTTGAAGGTATAAGCATAGAATTTGCTTCTCCTTCTGGCTCAGGCTCTTGTTTCCTCAGCCTTTCCCAATGCTCAGATGTTTCTCCTCCCTCATAAGATACAGGGGTCCAAGCCTGGCTTTGTGAGGGCTCTTATTACATAGTTATGCAGAAGCTAAATGAGAAAGTGAGCTGTTCCTGCATCCCTGGCATCCACTGCATCCCTGGCATCGGGAAGGAGAAAACCTCATTCCCTTGGCATTGGACCCCGTGGCCAGCTGTGAAACCCCAGCAAATGTTGCTTGGGAGGCACATCCTCTGTTTGCCCTGTGCAGAGCTTCACAGCAGAGGAGAGGACTCGTGGCGTGTACGTAATGGTTGCAAAGTCCTTTGGGACCTTGTAAGGCACGGTTCAGTGTGAAGCTGTCACTAGTAACGCGTGATGTCTGAGTGGCCTTGGGGTGCGCTGTGGAGGAGCACATCGAGTCTTGCCCCCAGGCGCTGAGCCGGGTTATCCCCAGGCTCGTTGCCCACCCTCCGCTGTTGGACCCTCATCGCCTACACCTCGCCCTGTTCCCTGCGGGGTGGCGGGGGCGCTTACCGTGGTACCGAGGGTCACTGGCTCTGCTCCGCTGCATGTTCTCTCCGTCTCCATCTGCATTGGGAAAAACAGAAAGAGCGAGATGAGCAGCCCTGTGCCACAGCACTGGTAACTCCAGCCTCCACGGACTGTTATTTCCAGCACTGGATTTTTTGTAGGGCACTTCGACAACGCCACTGGGCTCCTTTTTCTTCCTGTATGGCAGTTTTTGGTTGCAAACTCTTTGAAGGGATAAGATACTAGGAAGGGTAACACTGCAGTCATTGAGCGGCTGCCTATTTGGTCCACTCTGCATTATGGCTTTACAGGCTGCATGGAGCGGACTGCATACCGAGCGGTGGGGATGAGTACAAGGAGATACTGCTGGAGAAGAAGGATCGAGAAGGAAAGAGACTGTGTGTGGTTTCAGACCAAGATTAAACTGTTGAGTGATGTTGCTGTAAACCTGCATTGCTTTTCAGCGGTGGCTGAAGGGATTCGTGTGTTCATTCAATTCATAAAGAGCTTCAGAAACCTTCAGAGAGAAAAGGACATCAAAGCATTTAAGATAGCAATGCGCTCGTTAAAGACAAATCACAGCACCCATCTTCATAGGAATGCATTCCCTGAGAGCCTCCGGTGGCGTGACCTCTGTCAGTGGTGTGATGAGTTTTTTTATCATTTAGCCATGTGCAAGCTTCAGAAAGCATTTTGGCTGGTTACTTATACAAAATTTCTCTGAAGTTTCAGGGCTACAGATGGCCTATAGATAGCAAGAGAAAAGGTCTTCCTTTGAATATCTACAGCTCTCCAGAAAAAGCTGCCACATACCGTCTTGTCAATAACAAAGAAGGTTGAACTACCAAATCTTATGTTTGGTTAAGATCTGAAATTGGAGGAAGATTTGATCAGGTTCCTTTTATTTCTGAGTGCGACTGCCCTTCCCCGAGATTATTTTCCACATCTCCCTCTCTGTGAAGAGGAGAGGGTTCCTGATGTTTGGATGAACAGAGTTTAGGGATGTAAGAGAGAAAACACATACCAGGATGGGGCTCATCTGAATGGAGATTAATGATTTCATCTAAATTTGTTTTCAATCTTTCCAGGTTTTCAATGTCCAGAGCAAGAAGAGGGGCTAGCAGGGCCAGCACGGAGGTGAAGAGCAGAAGATTGGCGTGACGAGCAGCTGGAGAAAGAAGACACACAGTGAATCTGGAAATGCAAACCCTCTGAAAGAGAACTGGCTAACTAAATTCAGCAGAAGTTAAACCAAACTTACAGAATAGACAAATCCACAACATTAATTATGTTTTTGCTTTATTGAGCAGCAGAATTATAAAGAACAATTTAAAAAAATAAGCATTCCGCAAAGGCATACATCCCCAGAGAGAAACAATTTCTTTGACTACAACCTACAGGTGTAAATTTGCGGCTTCCAAGAGCGGTGTCATCCTCTTTGGCTGTGGCCTGGGATAAAGCAACGGGCTCTGTGCCCCAGAATCGAGATGTTAAGTCAGCATCAGTGTCTTGAGAAAAACGTCTCCTAGTAATGCAGGATGACGTGCCGATTTGTAGGTACTGCTGTTACCCGGAGGTAGTCAGGAGCTATTACAGCAGTGATAAACAAGGTGCGGGGACCTGAGATCTTGGAAAGAAAGGAGCTGTTGTGGCCACAACGCTGATGGTACCCTGAGAGTCAGGAGCTTCACTTAATTTTCCCAGAACTGCCCCCTCCCTCCCGTGCAGAGACTGGACGCTGCCCACTGCACGAAAACTCCAGGAGGAGAGCGTCCTGCAGGGCGCCAGCAGCATTGATCCAGCATCAGACCCCTGCTACGTGTCACGACTGGGGCTTCTGCAGAGACATGCCGAGGGTCGGTGCATCCCAGCTGACATCTGGGCCAGGGCATTCTACGCTTTAAAGGATGGTTTCTGCCAGCGTCTGAAAACCTGAGCAATTTGATTCCTTTGGACCATACCAGATCAGGACGTTCCCCAACAGTTTGTTCATGGCTGGCCCCATAGATTTGTATCTACAGCCTGTCAATCAGCTTCAGTACCCTGAAGGACTTACGAGGATGATGGGTGATTAATGCATTAATTAGCTTCCATTCCAATTTTTTTTTGGGGGGGTGCTTTGGGCTCTGGCACAAATATAAGTTAAATAAACGTTGCCTTTACAACACCACCCAGAGCAGGACGGTTTTACCCGTGGTCAGGAATGGAGGAGAGAGAGTGAGGAGGGTCACAGGGACCTGGGGGGTACAGCAGGAA